ATGGCATCCAAAGTGGAATCAAGCTAATTTGCTGCAATGGAGCTTACAGAATGAGCAGCAGACGTTGAAGCCGATGCCGATGCTGATGCCGATGCTGAGTGGCTGGTGCTGCCACTGGCGTAGACGAAGGGAATTGAATTTGACAGCTATTTATGACTGTCGATCGACAGGTCGACAGATCAAAGCGTGGGCAACGACGGACAGCGGAGGCCGTCGGCTCGGCGAGTGAAAAGTGTGGGAAATGCGTTTTCTACGAAATATCCGGTAAGCCAGACAAAGGTCGCATTGTGCTAAGGACGTTGCGTTCGTTTGCGGCAAGTGTGTCAACCTCTCGCTCGCTCAGTCTTGGACTCGTTGGTACCTGCAGCCGTGTCGCCTTTGACATTGCCTTTTATCATACACATTTCCCTGCTACAATTTTAATGCGTATCTCTGTCTCTGGCTCAAACGGCATAATAAAGCAAGTCCATATCCCAACAAAAAGAAAGAAAAACACACACACACACACACACACACGCGCAGGGAGATAGAGCTCTGAATGGAACACATTGAATGCATGCGTGCGTGCGTATAGCAATATTATATATAATATATACATGTGTATGTATGTATGTGTGTGTGTGTGTGTCTAATAGCGCACACCCATCAACAAAAAGTTAACGGCAACTAATGAATTTTCATGGCGATTCCTGCGGGAAATGCCAATACCTTTCAACGTTGTCTCGCTGCTTGCTGACGTAGTGGCCCGTAGACACACCATGGAAGCCACAAATATACAGCCGGACGGACAGAGAGACAGACAGACAGACAGACAGACGGGCAAGTGCGGCGCACCCAACCACCCAGCCACCCAACCACCCACAAAATGCGACGGCAAGCGCTCAACAAAAGGAAACACAAACCGCAGCGCACGGCCAGCATTAAGGGGGCTCCCTCTCAAGAGCTATTCAACCAAATGTTGTATAAATGTAATTCAATACTTTTTTCAATCTTCCAGTTGCTGTTGTTACTGAAACTGTTCTTGTTGTTGTTGTTGTTTGACAGTAAGTAAGCCCATAGCAGAGAGAACAACAAAAACGTAGCGAAAATTGTTGCTAGCTCACACACACACACGCACATACATACATATATATTTGTACTAGCCCACACACGCACAACAAATTGGAAACACATTTTACCCTCCAATTACTTAAATACAATACTCGTTGCGCTTGTCGTCCATCGAGGGGCGGGCTGCGTGGGCGGGGCGGGGCGGGGCGGCAAGCGAACAGGGAGCAACAGCCACGAGACTTGTGGCCCAGCCACAGTGTCGCATTGGATTTTGATGAAATCTTTGAAAATAATTAAGACGCAATTAGCTTCCATAATTCCAATTAATTAGTCATGGATTTATAAAACTTAAAAAGTTACAAATGCCAATTTGCTAATAGATTTTATATGTATATAATAATTATTGCTGTCTTTTGTATATGCCTTTTCTTCACATTTTTCTCACATTAAGATCGGCAATTGAATTAATAAGAATGCAGCTTGCGAGTTTTATTTACATATTTTTTAAGTGATCGCATTTTTGCATAATAAATATCGATAGGCAGGCAATGCAAATGAGCAAAAGGAGCGGGTTAACTATCGATAGGCGCAGTATTAATCGCGCACTGTGCAAGCTGCTCATTAATTGCACGCACACATGCACACGCACACTCGCACACACACGTGCACTTTCCTTGCAAGATTGCTTGTGTGTGTCACATGACTGTCTAGCTGTCTCTCTGTCTGTCAGTCAGTCGCTCGTCATGCACGCTTCACGCCAACAGGTCTCTAATTTCAAGCAACAACACAGGCGAACACACGCACACACACACACGCATACAGTCACGCGTCTATACGCCTGCTCTATGTGCCTCTCGCTCGCGCTTGTGCATTTGCATCGACAGTGCGTGCTATCAAAAGGCTGAACTGAATAAATGAAGGAATGATTGAATGTAAGTGTGTCCGTTCGGCAAACTCCTTCCCTTGCATAGTCTCTAGAGAGTTTAGCGCTTTGTGCGCGCTAATAGATTTTCTATTACCTACATCGAGCAACCCTCCCACCCATCCGCTCTGCCCCCGCGCCCACTCTCTGCCTCGCGCTCTGCCCTCCGCTGCCCTCGTTCACATGCATGACCGAATTTTCATTTAACAACTCCCAGCGGAGTCAGCATCAAGGCAAACTGATTATTATTATTACTATCATCATCGTCATCATCATCATTATTAAAGGTTGCCAAATCAGAGCCAGCCCAGCCAAATCCAATGCCGCTGGGCCGCTGGGCCACTGGGCGGACGAGCGGTCGACCGCAAACGCAGCGGGCGGCATTTCTCTTACACATGTCAATATTAGATTTACGATTTTGGGCGAAAGTTAAATGGGTTAAAGCCAAGCGCGCTGATGGGGGCGCTGACAGTGATGAGCCATGATGAAGCAAGAGATGGGGGATGGGGGAAGGGGGAGGGCATTTAGGGCACTTGTGCATCGGTTGCAATTCACAACATATTTCGCTTAAACAAATTATTATTAATAATGAAACAAAGCCGCTCAGCTCAGTCGCCATGTCAACCCAGCGGGCAGTGGGCGTGGCCGTAAGCAGAGCGAGCAACTGCATGAATCCAAAAAATACAAATATTAAAATTGAAACCAAGTTTGATTAATCCCACCAAAGTTATTAAAAATAAAAAAATAAATGAAAA